GGGGGGTAGGGGTTATATAGGGGATAGTTGCAAAGAAAACGGAAGCGACTATTTGGGGTTTGGGGTTTATGGTTTCAGGGTTCCGGGTTTGGATTCAGGATTTCGGCTTGTAGGAGGACTGGGGATTTCGGGTGCAGAGAAAAGGTTCCATTGTTTGGTCATGGGTTGCCCTCCTACCCGCCTGTGCCCCCCCAAGGTTTAGGGATAATTAGGGCCACTGCGGGGGGGAATATCGGCGATCTAGTAGGGGCAGGATAGGGGCTTTTGAGGCAGGTCGTTTCCTGTCTGGCTTGTTTCATGGGTTCCCCTACTGCCCTCACGGTTTTCCCCTAGCCCGAATTCCTCCCGAGTCGCCCTGATAATCTTAGCCCCTCCTGGTGTCTCCCCGTTTTTGGAACCTACCGTTTGAGGGGTTCTCAAACTCGGGGACCCGGCTGCATTGTGAGGAGCTGTAAGGGGGGATCATTGCAGCCCCTACGGAGGATTCTGATAGGGATTAGGGATTAGGGATTGGGGTTTAGGGATTAGGAGGGATTAGGGTTTAGGGTCGTCTTGAGAAGCTCCTGTTTGTCAAGGAGCCGGGCGACAAACATAAGAAGCGAGAGCCTGCAGCATGAGCCCTTTGTTGGGTTGTTGCTGAACAGAAGGGGTTTAGGGTGTGGATTCATCTGTAACTGAGCCCAATACAGAATTAATATGAACATGCCTAACGGTACCTGAACAACATTTACGCTTAGGGTTCGGGAGTACGTGCATCCTTCATGCAACAAACTCTAGCCTTCCACGTCTATTGTTGAAACCTGAGGAGTTTCCAATTTTAGTCTCTTCTTCTCCTGATATATAGCTCAGTAGAGTAAGATAGAATGTATGTATATATATATATATTTGGCTCTACCTGGTGCATTGTGAGGAGTGCAGGAATGGATCCGTGCAGTAGCGCTTATCCTTCCCAGAAAGGTCCCTGTAAGCCATTCCCTTGTTCCTTTCTAAGGCTTTAGGGTTATTTAGGGTTTAGGGTTTCGGGTTCAGGGCGCGATTCTCATTCTAGACCACCACGTCTAGGCCCCGCATGCTGGCTACCAGGTAGGGCAGTTTTAAGATTATAGTTCCCACTCAGGTCTCCTTTACACAATGCGGTCCCCATGATGTAGTGTGCCCAAAAACGCCCTCATGTTTGCCAACCGGCAAAATTACTCCATCAACCTAGTTCCACCCCTATGAATTCTATCGGTTATCCTGAAGTCCTTAAACCCTAAACCCTAATTGCTGGGCCTCGAATAGTTGGAATAGGCTGTGCAGCTGGAATATAGGGTTCAGGGTTTAGGGTTTAGAGCTCAGTTCTAACAAAAGAAAGGCTGCCATTATTCCGGCCGGCCCTTGTATCCCAAAGCTCGAAACCGCATCATGAATCATTCTGTGTAGGCTAGTTTTCATGGTGGCTTCCCTTTTCGTAGAAGCCTCCAAACTCAAAACCTTGTAATATACCCTAGGCCCTAGACCGTATACTCTTATGCCCAAACCTTCCGAATTCCGCAACCCTAAAACCTAAATCCTACACCCCCGTACTTTAGGTGGACCCCCCCCACCGAGTAATGCTGGTAGATAGGACTTTTAAGCTGGCCCTAATCTAATCTCCATTATCCCTTATAGTCAATCACTCTTATTGAGTGGGGGACCAACCTAAACCCTAAATCCTAAACCTTCAACCCTCAACCCTAAATCCTAGATCTTAAACCCTAAACCCTAAACCCTCAACCCTAAAGCCTAAACCCTGTGACCCGACACCCTTAACCCTGTAACTCGACACCCTTACCCTAAGGGTCCAAGTACCTAATCATCATATACTCACCCAAAATCTGTACTATAATTACTCTTACCCAAAACCCAAGTACCTAATTATTGGGTACATGGACCCTCTGGGTATGTAATAACGGATAGGGTTTAGGGTTTATGGAGCATATAGGGTTGAGGAAATTCAGAGTGTACCTTCTATGCAAATCATAATCCCTACATATTCCTACATAGGGGAGCATATGTGCACAGATACAGAACAATACATACATATATACCTCTCTATATTGTAGTGATTGTATTTGGTTTAGGGTTTCAAGGGATTAGCATCCAGCCAGCCATGGAGAATCAAATGGAAAAAAAGATGGAAGATGACGTGGAGCTGGGTTGACATAGTAATCACTTTATGCGAGTTTCCCAAAAGAGCGGCCGCTAAGCATGCGGTACTTCGTGCATGTGAATGACTGACCCCTATAAATAACATTATGAAAGGGGATAACATGTCCCAAGCCCAAAGCCTACATCCCAAACCCTAAACCCCCAAATCATAAGCCCACTTTAACCAATGCCTGAAACCCTTAACTTATTGTTCAGGCTGTAGAGCCTAGGGTGCCCCTAATGTCTCCACTCTGAACTCACCACCTGCATTCTGCCCTAAACCCTAAAGTTTCAACCATAAACCCTGAACCCCTAGGACTATAACCCAAAACCGCGCAGCCCTGCGTCTTGATGGAAGGTGCAGCCCCCTGCTCCCCATTGGAGTTGTCCTGCTTTGAAAAATAATAGTTCAGGGTTTACAGGGGTTACCGGGTGAGAGGTTATGTGAGAAGTGGGAAACATCATGGAAAGGGGCTTCACAGACGGCAGGGATCAGTACGTAGGTTCTTGAAGAGACAAACTTCTGACAATGAGGTGCGCATCAGGGGTTCCTGAGAATAAAGCTTGCACCACCTTGGGGGACGTCCAGGTCACTTTGGAAAGTTCCAATCTGGAGTCCTACGTGAACCTTGTGTTTCGAAAAATGCGGATTCGCGCATGGAATATCATTTGGCAGCTTCTCAAAGTCTATGGCCCTGGGCTCCCCTTGGGATATGTAGGGATTCTAAGGTGATTATGGCAGTCCTTTTGGGCTGGCCTCCAACAAAATTCACCCCACAAAATTGACCCCTTCTTCTCTACGACCAAAGTAATCTCTATGACAAGGACCCCTAAAGAGGAGGCTCCTAATCCATCTACACCCTTGACCCTGTCATTTTAAGAAACCTCCCGTCGTGTTGACACGGTCGCTCTGCAGACCTCTGTCTTTGGTATGGGTTTAGGGGTTTAGGTTAGGGTTCAGGTTTCAGGGTTCAGGCAGAAGCGCGGCCAGCCTAGCCGAGAGCCTCAAAACGCCACCATGTAACGGCCGCAAAGGCGCCATATTGTTTGATGACTCAAGCGCTGATGCAAAACTTGTGTGGCACGCTCCTCCTTCTCCTGCAGCATGACCTCAGTGGCCAGCCGATACCGCTCCTACTACTTCCTGAGTAGCTCGTCTTCCTGTGGTGAAAGCTTCAAGACATTGCAGCGCGACTTGTAATCTGGAACTTCTGCTGCCGCTGATGAGTGTACTGGGCTTGCCACGGGCTCTCCCTCAAGCGTGTAGAAGTCCGTGTTGTTGTGCAGGTAGTGGTGGCCTTCCATGTTAGAAAGCAGCATCTGCAACAGTAGAGAAACCATGCCAATGAGGTTCCCGACGCATTCCAGACTAGGAGCGTGAAGGCGTGAAGGACTTGCTAGTAGAAAGGGGAAGCAGGTGGGCATCAAACGAAAGGCCCTAGAACTTGCTGGGGAGCTCACATGTCAGGATGCAGTTCTCCGTCGTTCCGGACACCGGCAGCACGTAAGAACCTGGCGGAACATGGTCCAATGAGCAAGAAATGGAACCTCTGCAACAAGCCTCGTGACTTCGATCAGTTGCTTTCCCAGTGAAAATCCAACAGTCGAACTGCCCCCTTTTGAAGTGACCTTCTGAAAAAAAGGAGCTTCCATAGTCTTATCCGCATCTTTGGGTCTCCTCCGGCTTCTGAAGCCACAGTGTTGTGGAGACCAAGAAAAAATGCTGGGTGCAGAATAGCTTTCGCAGGCTTATCTCATTCAGAAGATATAGCCCCCCATAAGCAGATAGAATATGAAATTGCCCAATAAGATTCCCCTATACCCCATATTCTATCTACTTCAGGGGGACCATACTCGCTCAGCAAGCTTCAGATCAAGATAGGCCCTTGAAGCTTTGGGTAGGCCCTCCCCAGCGATGGCCTGACTCGTTGTCCAGAAACTCGATCCTTGGTTCACATGAGCCATTGTCAAAACTCCTAGTATCCCACTTAATAACCTCTACAATACTCCCCTACACAATCCCCTGCTAAGGAGCTTAGACTTGACTATAGTTCACATGACCCAGAGCGCAATTTAGACTGGATTGCCGCATCTGAATACTGTAAAGTTATGGTGAAAATCTTGTGTGTCAACTGGGCCAGGTGAGATTACGTTGTTCCTTTGGCATTTGAAAAGTTCTATAGAACATGATCTTAGTATACTGCGTCGGCTACAATATCCCATTTGGAAAAGAGTTACACACTTTGCTGATTCCGAGCAACCCAATGCGGGATTTATCTTGAAGATCATTGCGTTGAAGCGAGCACTTCGGCTGGGCAGCAAGCGAGATACAGCTTGCCAAGCCCGGCTTGCTACCCCATTATATTATAGTAGCTTCCATGTTATCTTCCATTATCCCAAGATAATCCCAATATAACCCTAAACTTACCCCAATGGGTTGTACGTTTTGATAATAATCTCATTATGGTTTTTCTGCCCCGGCTTGGATCACAAAGATTTGCACTTTCTCAGGCTCAAGGGCGAGCTTGCTGCTCATTTCTATTTTGATAACTATTGTTGTTTTTTTCTTCCTTGTCGCTCTGCAGGGATTGGCAGACCTGCCGTAACTTGCGGAGCCTTCTTTCGTAAGGGGTTTGTAAGAGGCTTCAGGCCTTGCTCGGGTGTTGGCGGGGTCACCCTCAAAGTGGATGGTAAGACCTGGAGCCATGTCCATGCCGAGGCTCTTCGCGCAGAAGGAGATTGGCTTGTTGGACTGGAAGAAGATCTCAACCTCGGCAATGGGTACAACTGGCCTGTAATAAAAGCCTACAAACGTGGAACGACCCTGTGGGCCTTCATACATCCAGAAAATACACAGCTGCCATGCATTCCAGAAGTAATCCCCCATCTCTGTCTGCAGAAAAGTGGCTGGAATCTTTGGCTTTGTGATTCCAATCTGCTGCCCCTGGGCGACCGGCCGTGTCTACGCTTTCTTACATGTGAAGTGCACTTGCAGGCACAGCCTGCCCTCTCAAGCTACTATGTGATGGAGATATCTGAGCTGAGCATCCACAAAAGACAACATATCAGTGCAAAGGCCCTCAGAGCGCTTTTGAAAGTACTATAAAGGGTTATATAGGGGTTCTATAGGGATTATATTGGGATAATGGAAAAGAAAATGGAGACTACTATATTATCAATATGGTGGTTTCCATTTTCTTTTCCATTATATTCCGAGTTCTCAGGAAAAATCAGAGCCTAGGTGAATCGCATGTGGAGGCGGGTATGGTTCCTGAAGATTTGGCCAAGTCATGTTTACATGCATCTGATGCCCTTAGTATAATCAAGCCTAGTTCACATTGGCCCTTGAGGGTTTATGTACATGCGTGATAGAAACCAGGCATAATGGGATCCTAGGATTAAGGGTGCACGCTCGGGGACTTTGATTCGATCATTACATTGAAGTTACCGAGAACGAAGCCAGCATGGAATCATCCCAAGAACCTTGCTCTACAGCCCCCGCCCTACAGCCTTCATCCCTAAACCCCCCCTATCCCATAAAGCCCAAAACCCCTTAAACCTAAATCTGAAGCCCCGAGCCCTTAACCCTACACCTGTCACGCTATGCAATCCCATACTATATATATACATACATACCCTAAAGCTCTTGGACCCTCATAATGCGCTCTCAAACCTTAGCCCCCAAAGCCCAAACCTTCCCCCAGAAAGCCCCAAATAGCCCTGAGAGCCTTAGGGTATATATACATTATATACACACACGACTGCCCTAGAGCCAAAGCAAGTCCTACTATTTGGTATACTTATGGGCTCAGGGTTTAAGGGTTTAGGGTTTAGGGATTTAGGGTTTAATGTTTGGAGACTGCTTAGTTAGTTTTGCTCTAGTTTGAATTCCCTTTGTGCCTCCTTGAACAGGACTCTGCTTACACCCTAAACACCTCAAAATGCTACACCCTATAAACCACAAAATAACCCCAGCTTCCAATTTATTTCCCCTGTTCTTGTCCACTTGTTTCTCCGCTACCCTTCTATATTGCTAGACAACCCTATGTATGAGACTTGGCCTATTCCTGTTCCCAAGCTCGAGGCAATTTCTGTAGGGAAGCGCATCATAGTAAGAACCCCACCACAAAGACCCGCTTTTTCTGGATTCTGCAAAAGCCCAATATAATGATTTTTTCCATTCCCCAATACTCCCACTACAACAATATGTGAGCCCCATGTAGCCCTACATAACATCTATACGAGTTGAACCCTACATATCCCAAAAATCTACAACCTTAACCCTAGACCCGAAAGCCTAGGTCTAAACCTGAAAGCCTACACCCTAAACCCTAGGCCCCAAGCCCTAAATCCTAGGCCCCTACCCTATTCCGCAAGATCCTGCGACCGGCCTCTGGGAAGTTGATCGTCAGCGGGATGCGGATCTGATCGTTTGGCAGCCTTCGGCAGCTTAAGCAAGCCCAGACAAGGAATTCGAAGGATATATAGGGACGTGTAGGGACTATGACTTAGGGATTAGGGTTTAGGATCTAAGATTTAAGGTTTGGGATATAGGGTGTAGAATTTGCGGTTTGGGGTGGTATGTGTAGGGATGATATGATATAGCGATATAGTGTTTAGTGGTGTGTGAGCTACAGTCATTACATCCCATATAGTCCTTGGAGAATCAAATGACAAAGAACATGGAAAATGAAATGGACACTGGCATTACACAGGGGAGTAATATTTCCCTCAAATTACGGGACATGCAAGCATGCTAGCGGATATGTTAGGAACTAGGCTAGACTACCCTACCCTGGATCCCTATGTCCACTCTTGCTGGTCCATTAGTAACTCTCATGTTGGTGGTAGGCATGCGCGGATTGTATAGCGGTTGTATAAGTGTTATATTCTATGGATTATACAGGGATTATGCGAGGGCCATTGAGGACTCAATGACAGAATCGATTCTTGGATTCTCCCAGGCATCTGGGAGGGATTACAATTCTTTGACGCAACCCTCCAAAGGGGCCTTAAAGACGACCAGCCGAAGTTCCATAAGGGGTTCCGGGTTGGTGTGGCGTAGGGTGTAGGGCTTTTGGGTTCAGGGACTACACTGCCCAGACTGAACTGCAAACTGCAGCCTCTTCTGATATGTCCTGCTAGCTTGATTAGGTAGGGACCTTGGGTTAAGAGTAATATCAACAGTTCCACTTGCCTTTGCACATCCCCTCAACGTGACCTAAAGGTTTGAGACTTCCTTAGATTAATTGTTGAACGACAGATATCGCCGGCATCCCAAACCCTAATCCAGGGTTTGGTGTTGAAGTCTAAGTCGAATTGCAAGCCGGGCCGCCTGTACTTGACATCAAGGCTCTCGTAGCCCTCGTTGACGATGTAGAATAAGCATCTGGGCAGCTCTGCAATCCATGACCCCACTCTAGCAGCCACAACTCCACGCGCCAGCCCTGATGGATCCTTCAATTTTAGCTGCTTGTGCGTAATCCCTATGTAGCCCCTAAACTTCCGGTCTATTTTGCAGGGATCTCGGAAGACCAGGGTTTGGGGGTTCCATACTTGTTTAGGGGAGGTCAGAAACCCCCCAACCCTGAACCCTTTACCTGTCTGTACGCCTAGATCTGTAACCACATACAAATATCTGTACATATGTATACATATGTATATATATATATTATGTATATGTATATATGTATATATGTGTGTGTATGCCTATATCTCTAGATCTATGTGTATATATTTATATAGATAAATATGTAGCCCCAAAAGTCCAGAACTACGTGTGACTTGGAAGAGCTGGCTTTCCGAGGCCCTCTCCGAGACTTGATGCCCAGGGGAACGATCCTCAGAGATCGGAGGTTCAGATGTCTGTACCCCAAGGCTCCAAAGAGCCCAATGTAGGTCATATTTATAGACATTGGGGCCCAATGTAGGTACTATTTATAGACATGGAGCCTTAGGGGTAGGGCTTAGGTGTTAGTGGACCTTTAAGGTTTAAGGCTTCAGGGTTTTTAGGCTATAAGGTTTCGGGTTCAAGGTTTGGGACTTGAATTTTTAGGGTTTCAGGGTGTAGAGCTCTATAGGATTTAGTCATTATGACCCGGGGGGGAAGATCCTCAGAGATTGGAAGTTCAGGCTTCAACTAGGTACGTATACTAGGAGACACTAACGGTATCTACAAGCAACTATAAGGGACTATGCAATATCACACGCTCATAACTTGGATGTTTCCCGCCAGAGGCTTGAGGGGAACGAAATGGACGCAACTCAAGATCAAGTTGTGCAGGGGTGTCTGGGTTAAGGATGACCGAGCATCTTGGATGTACCTGCAGCACCAACTACCTACAGTTGAGTAGTCATTACACTATCCTCTTAATAATGGGTAACTGTAACACCCATCAACGTACACCGAACTGTAGTGAGCTGCAAGCAGGTGGATTTGTTCTTCAACACGTGGGAGTTGAGCTTAAGAACGAACCCAATTAAGGGCCTCATATACACTACTCTCCTGTGAGAAAAGGTTTCAAGCGGTTCCATGCGAGCTTCGTGCGTGGTTAAGTTTAGGCTGCAGCCTTTCAGGTTCATCATGGTTCATGGGAGCGCTAGGCCTCCCTAAACACAGCAAACATGAGAAACTAAGGTAGGTACATTTCTTACGAATAACCAGCATTTATCTAAAACAGCTACTACGAGAGACTATAGGAGATTATGGGTTCCTCAATACTGCGTTACGGACGATACAGTATTTGGGACTATATTAAACTATTACGTAGAGGGCACCCCTATGTCCACTGTTAAGGGTCCTTGTACTGACAGTAGCTTATATACGCATGCTTTCCAGCTTAGCCCCATGCAGGCAATCCTCTATGATGTTCTAAACCCCCAAACCCCAATACACCTTAGAAATCCTATAAGCCCCATAAGCCCTAAACCGCAGAAACCCTAAACCCTTACCCCAAGCCCTAAGCCCCATAAAGCGCATAAACCCTAAAAACAAAACCGCTTGGTAGTTTACCAGGCGGTGTCTACCTGGACCCCCCAAGCACCATGGCACTTACCACCCCGACTAGAACTTAACTTTTGGGGGTATGGTTTATACGGTGTGTAGGGTTTATAGAGTTTATAGGGTTTAGTGTATAGTCGGAACACATTGGAACCCAACGAGGTTATGGGTCTAAGGTCCTAGCTGCGTGCCAGGAGAAAATCTGTAGGATGGTGGCCGCGTTGGCTATTTTACGCATTTTAAACCGTAATTTAACCTACTTTGTCCAGATAAATGTATACATCCCTTGAAAACCCTCGCCAGGCTGGGCTTCACGTTTCTGGTCTCTTCAGACTGGGCAGCCAATATGTGCACCCACGGATATACCCAAACTCTAACCCTATGCCCCAATTCAACTTTCCCGAAGCCTAAAGCGCTCTTCTCCCAGATGCGTCGTAACGAATGACGAAATGAATTACCAGCGTGTACATATACATGCATGGGGTGCCGGAAATTAGGAGCCCTCTGCTTTGGAAACTCTAGATATTAAACCCTAAACTTCCATGCATCTGGGACTATAATATTTAGCAACTTTCCTCAGCTACAAGAAGGACCACTGTGTCCACTGTTTTAAGGGTACCCATTATAAGGCGAATATTGACACTAACTCTCAGATACAAATGGGGGTTTCCAAGATTAGGTGTACCTTTTTGGGGATCCCAATAATAAGGATTATAGTATATTGGGGTCTATATTGGGGTCCCCCTACACACTAAACCCCTAAACCGCTAAACCCTAGACCCTAAACCCTAAAACCTAAACCCTAAACCCCTAAACCCTAAACTCTAAGCACTATTTAGGGAAACTACCATTTTTGTTTTTTGCAGCGGAGCTTCGGTAGTACGATCTCGCGGCGGTCAAAGGTGAGCTTGGGAACCGTGCCCTGGCCCTTCATCCGCAGGGACAGGTAGGGCTTGCCTCAGAACACGCTTCAGGGTAAGGGGTTTCGGGTTTGCGGATCGGATGTTGGCGGTTTAGGGCAAACGGTTTAAGGTTGTTAGGGTTTGGGGTTGATTTAGGGTGTGGGGTGCCTTAGAACACGGTTTCCGTTTTACGGTTTGGGGTTTTGGGCTTTGGGTTGCAGAGTCTAGGGACAGTTTTGCTAGTTTAGGGTGATATATAGGAACACGTAGGGTTCCAGGGTTTGGTGCTGTACAGGCCGGCCTCGCAAATCATCGCGTTTAGGGTTCTAGAACATGTAGGGCTATGGCGTACGGTATGGGCACTAAGGTAGGGTAGAGGGAATAAGGCTCGCATCAAATTGTATCATCAATCTGCATCTGCTTACGCATATTCTATTTTTTACACAGAGACATATACATATACATATGCACAAACATATACATATATACATATGCACACACACACTAAACCGTAAACTCTTAACCTTACACCATAAACCCTAATCCTATACATACATATATGTATATACACGTATGTGTATGTATGTATGTATGTGTATATATATATATATGCATACATATATCGGTGCACGACATGTGGATGTGTTGGGTTCAGAGTTTGGCGAATGCCTCAAAAAGTACTGTAGTGTTTAGGGTTTGTCAAATTAGATAGGTGCGGGAGAGGCTTTTCGAGGGACGTTAACATTTATATATATATATGTGTGTGTGTGTACATATATATATATACATAGATATGTATGTACGTAGGTGTTTAGGACATGAATAGACTTGGGGCTTAGGGCAACTAGGCTATATACAGGGACTTATAGCCTACAAAAACCTTAACCAGAACATCTAACTCTAAACACGAAGCCCAAGCCCTATAAGTGTATCGAAAGCCCATGAGGCAAGAACAACCAACGGCCACGGAAGAATGGATACCTATAGTAGACCCTATAAAACCCCTTGAATGAGGGTTTAAGGTTTGTTTGGCAGTTTCTGTTTTCACTTCCGTTCCTTGAACTCCCTACGACTAGTAGCAGCCAGCAAGCAATTGCATCCCAACAAACGAAACCAAGAAAGTGCTGACTTGTGCCGTCCAAGCACTCTCGTCCGCTGGTAGGGCGAGGCTTGCATCTATGTTCTTGCCTCAATTTGTCGCGGTCTATAGTTTGTAGTCTCCCTTGAGTAGATAGAATATGGGATACATGGGGATCTTATTACAATAGATCCAAAGCCCAAAGCTATGTTCTATCTACTCGAGGGGGAGGGTTTAGGGTTTAGGGCTCAAGGCTGTTTTTTCTGTCAGCGTGGTGCCTAGGGCGCAGGGTCCGTCTTGAGGCCTTTCAATGGCCAAGCTGGAGGCATGTGAAGGTTATACAGTGCCCTACACCCTGAAAGCCTAAACCCTAGCCCTGTATACCATCAGTGTTTTCATTTCATTTCCATCTTCTTTCCCGTCTGGTTCTCGATTATTTGTGCAATGTCCCTGAATCCTAAGTCCCATATGATCCCTATATGTCCCTATGAATACATATATATATATACATACATATATGGAACTTGTACATGACTTGTCCAATTCCTGGCCGGCCCTTAGGATTCTCTATGTTTTGCGGATCTTGCAGGGCGACTCTGAAATGAAGCTGGTCAACGGTTCATGGATGCTGCAAGCTGTAGAGTCTGGAGGAACATAACCCTAACCAGAAACCTGAAAACAGCCATAGCACTGTAACAGGAGGGTCCGAAATCTGGGGGCAGGCATTACCAGCAAATCCTCTTTCGGGAATATTTAGGGTGGTTCCCAAGGCGCTTAATTTCAAAATATCGGCAACCTGCACGGTGAAGACGCATTAGCAAAAAGTCTAGCCATGTCAGAGAAAACAAGGAATTTCCTAACGTTCTACTGAGCTTTGGATCTTTCAACCTTGATATGAAGTCTCGCCCTGCACACCCTTCTGGCATCTGCTGAGCCTCCATGTGCGTAGTTCCCAAAATTCGGGTCCCATTTTGGCATCCCGAATTTTAGGCGCAGCAATATAAACTATAATCCAGAATGTCCCCTTTTGGGAAAAGCCCATATCAAGAAACCTGCTACCTGGCCCCATGGTTCTCTGCCGTCTCTGGCATTGGCAACGTATATCCGCCCTTTACCTTCACCAAACGCTTTTCTAAACACACGGCCAAAACAGCCCTAAACTATAAGCCCTATATACCCCACACCCTCCACACCCCAATACCCTAACCCCTAGATGACCCCCTGCTGCCAATAATGTACCGGCATCTCTGGGTGGCGAGATGTACACGTTCATGTTGGCCTACACGGTTTAGGGGTTTGGGGATAGGGGGGTTGAGAAAACGCTTACACTACACCGGCTCTGCAGGCAAACATAGGGAGTTGCAGAGACAGGGAGTCCCAAGCGAGACCCAACATGCTTAAATCCTTGTGATGAAGACTACCAAAAATAACCCAACTGTTGAGGAGAACCAGAACAATTTCAATACTCTTGTTAATGATGGTATTATTCATAATATAATAAGACTCATAATCATCATAATATGGTATATGCAAATGCAAGTTTACGTCTGGTCCAAGGCGTCAGGCTTAAGGGGCTTTCAGCATGATGGGCCCTTCTCGGAGGATCTGCATGATTTTAGAAACCTGATTCAGGGTTTACGATATAGGGTTTAGTTTTTCGTTGTTGAGGATGCATAAGGATCCGACTTTGAAAATGTTGCAGATCATTCAGGATTCCACAGCAACCCTAAATACAAGGTATCTTCCCCGTGTAACATGTCGAAAGCACACTCGAATCGTACTCGCTTCGTCACCATTCACGTGCTGGTCATGGCGTGATCCTAAACCATCGAATCGACTAAGACTATATTCCCACCAGAAAAAGACGAAAGTCTTACTCTATATCGGGCACCATGACGTCTCCGTCTAAAGTGCTAAGTATGCTACTTAAACCCCATGAACATGAGGATAATCTTATGAGCCTGTCAGGTGTCTTGCATCGGGAAGCTGGAGGCCCCCTAACTTCCTGAATCCGGCTCCTCCCTGGAAAAGCATTTCCCCTCCACAGCACAAACACGTTCGCTCATCTGCCCTCTGTTCCCGAGGACGGTAGTCTTTGAGGGTCACTTTTGGGGTTCCATGTCATCATGGAACAGGAGATAGATTGTAGCTTTGTGTTACTTTTCAGGTACTACTGCTGCTACTACTACTACTACTACGACTACTACTACGACTACTACTACTACTACTACTGCTGTCGCTTCCTCTTCTGATTATCTGCTCGGCCTTGTACTCCACGGGCTCATTGGGCATGAAGGCCGCGCGGACCAAACAATCCTCCGAGCCGCTTGGGAGCTTGGAATGTCTCTGGGCTTTAGGACTAATAGGGTATATATTGGGGGTATATAGGGATACGGTTATATAGGGTTATATAGGGATTATGTAGGGGTATATAGCGATATATAGGGATAATGGAAAAGAAAATGGAAACTACGATTTGGGGCTTAGGGTTTAGGGCCTGGGCTTGAGGACTTTAAAGCTCAGATTTTAGTTGGTAGCTTAAGGATAGCTATGAGGATTCCGGAGCTGTTGTGAGGACCTGAACGAGGCTGCAACTAGCTATACTATAGAGTTTGTAGGGCTCCGGGCTTAGAGGCCTCCACTAAAACACCCACGAGAAAGCTCGTTTCCTTGCTGGACCAAAATTGGGGGATGTTTGCTAAGAGAAGGGATTGAGTGTTGAGGGACTTGGATTCCAGCCGTATTCAGGCCCTACATGTTTCGGCTCGAAAGCGGCGAGCGTGAACTCATGACTTCCTGCAAAGGCATGCCAGCCAAAGTCGTGAATCCGCAGAGGGGGCCACTTACACCTATGCGATAAGACATTACAACCGCCCTGCTCACACCCCTTTGAGACAACACTATACGATGCGGCGACCACAACAAAAATCAAGTGAGTGGTCCACACCAAAAACCTCTGCACCCTACACCTCAGACAATGGCCTATCCCATGCCAAAGGCCCGCCTGTGCTGGATGAAGGATGCCCCCTGGCGGATCCACAGTGAAGACCTTGTGTTTGCAACAGTTGGGGGTGGGCTTAGTTTCTCCAAAGTGGTCTGAATGCAAACATGTGAGCTACAGTCAATATTTCCTGCATATTTTGATGGACATGATCCTCTTGCTAAGAAAAGAAGAGTCGTATCGACACCTGCCCCAAAAACGCCTCGGCAGTTTCGGGACTGCCCCATGCAGCTGGGCCACGCCCATGAACTTCTTGAGGGGCTCCGTGTCAATCCGCCACTCGATCGGGAAATCATCTGGGCGTGTAGGGGCTTCTTAGCAGGGCTCATGACGGTAAGGTCTAACTAATTTTGGGTGGCATCATTACGGATCCTTACTTCTTTCTACCTTTACTACAGCTAAGGCTATGAACCCACAGCTTGAGATTCTTCGAATATGGAGCTTCTCAAAGTTAAGGTCTCTCATGTGGGTCGCTGTTTCGGGAAACTATTGCAAAAAGCAAACGTGCACTCCTAGTGAAGGCTCATGGTCTCTTGTATCTTGAGAATACAAACTAAGTTGCAGCAATGCCAATATTTATTTCCCCTGAATGAATATATTTCCCGTTATGTAAGGAATCGGGTCTCCAAAAGGATGCTTAGCTTTCGGATGCTCTTCATGGATCCAAAGCTTCAGCTGCACAGCTTCAGGTTCAACCTGCTGGCTGCTGATAGGGAAGGAGGGAATGGAACAGAACATCTCCAGACCCTAAACTAAAAACCTGTGAGGATCATGTAGGGGCTACTATGGAGAATGCCTCCATTCCCCACCAACAGTGAGGAACAAACAGTAAGTCAAGCTCTGGGGTGGTTTGTAGCCGCTGAGGGGTTCAGTCCTTGAGGACTTCAAAACTATGCAACTGCTCCGGTCTTATGGAAATCATGCCTAAATATTTGCCGCGGTGCACGCGATGACCCAGGTAACCTACCTGTGCTGACCATAGCCTAATGATATCAAGCTCATCCGTCCAGGGCGTGGCAACGGCAAGGGTGTGGCAACGGCACAAGAACTCACAGCTTCAGAACGATCGCGATTGCCAATAAAATGTGTGCATCTGCAAGTGCTTGGCTGTAGCAACGGACCCTGATCAAGCCAGCCCCACTATCCGCAACAAAAGGCAGAAACAGTACTACTCACAGACCTATAGGGATAGATTTGGGATACCCCTACCCCCTATAAAAAAACTCCTGAAAGCTTTCATATCCCTACTTCATCCCTGCATCTACACCGAGGAATCCCCGTGTACCCTGTAACCCCTATTAAAGGGAACCTAAACCATAAACCCTAAAGTCTGAAGCCCTAAACGCGCCAAGCCCTAAACATTAAAACCTGAACCCCCAAACCCAAAAGCCCAAACCGGACCCCTAGACCCTTTCAGGCCTCAACAACCCCAAAACCCTAAACCCGTAAACCGTGTGGCATCTGCAGGCCTGCATTGTGAAGCGCAAGTTCCAGCACAGACGCGACGGACTGTATGCCTGACGCCACCACCTCAGGGTGTAGAGTTCCATGCGTAGCGCTCAGCGTCCAGGCTTCGGGTTTGGGGTTAAGAATAATGTTTAAGTTTAGGGTCAGGATTAGGTCTTGTAACTAGATATGGCTCAAGTTACACATCCTTGAACGACCCTAAACATCACCACCCTAGCCGCAAAGACATGTAAAACGTTAGGCAGTAAGTCCATCCAAAACTGAACACTCCAAAGCAACTAGGAAGGCTTCCTTACCCTCCCCCAAACTAGCGTGCAACCCCCAGACCCTATAAAGACCAGGGGTTTATGGTTTATCAAAAAGATACATCCTTGGTTCCGTGCTAGTTTACAAATCCTTTACATCTCTCTGTATTCCATGGTAGTTTCCATAACAAGGGGTGCCCCAATATACACACCAAAATGCTGGGCAAACCACACATAACCCTCAAGCCCTGAAGCGTGAACCCTCAACCCTAAGCCGTAAACCCAAAACCCAAAACCCTGAAACCTTAAGCCCAAAACCCTAAACCCTACACAATTCCTATGTAGCCCCACCTTGGTCTTGAAGTTCAGGTCTGTGGCGCTAAACAGCATTCGCGGACGCAGGGCTTCCGCATGCACCACCTGCAAGGGACATGTTTTAGATTGGGCCCCCGTCCATTCATAGTGATCACAAGAGGTAATGGTAATCACAGTAGGGTCCTTATATATTCCTAGTATACCCACTGTTAGTGGGTGGGGGCCCAACCCAAGACATGTTGAACAACTACCATATGGGTTTTGTTAATGATGGTTCCCCTACCCCGCATAATACTATCCCGATTAAACTAATGAAAGCTGATTTAAATGGGACATAGTAGAGGGGGGTGGGAAATCCAGAACTTGCAGGGATGGTAGGGATATGCTGGGAACAAGACGTTCCTTCAATGAGAATTCAGGCATATATTGGAATTCTGTAGGGCTTAGGATTTAGGACCCGCATAGTGGAGAATCAAATGGAACATGAAAAAACATACTTACATAAAACCTGTACTACAATAATTAGTACCAAGATCCCAGCTACCTAATCATTGGGCACAAGGATCCTTAGGGTAAAGCCCTGAACCTTCAAACCCGCTTCAAGAAGCGGGCCTTGCGGAGGCCTTCGCTCTTCCCACCGCCTGCCGCCATCACAGGGAACTCGAAGAAGTGCTGTCCTCGGATCACGTAGGGGTTGCGACTTATTTAAGGTACATATCATGAGGATTGTATAGGCTTGATTAGGCTTAGAGTATATGTTCTGAGCACTACATGTAAGCTTTGTTAGGAGATTCCGGACATATAAGGATTAATTACAAGGGATCTATGTGGCAACGTGGTTATTCAGACCCTAAACGCCCTTAACCTTCCACAATACCCAGCCCAGGTTCCCAGGTCTGTAGGCTTGTAGGTGAGCTGCATGTGCAAGGTGTAGTTGGGCTGCACCTTGCACTCTTGGAATTTCCACGAGAAGCTGTAGGCTGTGAAGTATTCGTCGTAGCGCTTGGGCTCTTTGCCAGGTAACTTCCGCAACCACTCACAAAATCCACTGCGAAAGGGCTGAAGGGGAATGAGTCTGTTGAGATTCTGACTTCAATTCTCTTAAGGATTCTTAAGGGCCCCTCACGACGCTCTGTACAGGTGTAATGATCCATTGTCAGAGGAAATGTTTGTCTAAAAATGCGGAATGACGGTCTAAAGCTTGGCGGGGAACACTTTTTAACCTAATTACGCATGTATCTATCTAGAGGCACGTTGGTTCTCACTGTGAGCACAGGCCTCAAGGAATAGTTGTAGGACAGGAAGATGGTGGAAACCTCTGAAGATGAACAAGGAGGCCGAATCCCCATAAACCCTGAACCAGCAAAAGGGCCCAGTAAAACCTAGCTATATGGATATACATCATTTCAAACGCGACATGGCAACATTGGTTCAGAACCTGAACTTAGGAAAAGTTGGAACTATGGTCTGTCTATGAGAGCCAACATTTGGGGTTAAGTTGAGTGAGGCCGTCGTACTTTGCCCAGTTCAACAGTGACTCCTCAACCCTGAACGCTAAACCCTAAGCCCCTAGAAACACTAAACCTATAAACTTTAAACTTAAAACTCCGAGGTCTGCACCGTGATCTTGTAGACCTGGGAATTAGCCTCCTCATCCTCGTCCTCCTGCGGAGGGCCCTTGGCTGAGCAATTTCTTCACGCAAATCTTGTTTTGGGAATCATTCCAAACAGGCTTTACGTAAAAGGAATTACGCGGGTTAGTTGGACTTTACGGATCAGTGCTTGTTTGAGGATTCAGGCTATAAGTTTCCAAACCACGGAGTCACTTTTTCGGAGTCTGTAGAAGAAGATATGCATTATTTTACGCCTACAAGGAAGGACTTGTTTGGGGCATACCCCTGATGTCTAAAACATCGAGGTCCCTCTTGGGATCCTGCCCCAACCCGAAGAAGCATGCGAAGATGAAAACCCGAAGCGGGCCTCATGTAGACTGCTGTGACAAAGTATTCAACTGCATGGGGGGGGGATGCCTTGAGCAAGAGCACTGAGTTGAAACTGCAAAGCTGGAGCAGAAAAAGGTGTCATTGGGATTTTGGATTCTGCCGCGACGTTGCTTCATCTTCCTTTCAGGCGGGGTAATTAACACTCAACAAACTTTTTAAGCGCTAGGCCCCTTCAACTCCTTCAAACCCTTTCATCTTGGAGTCCTCCTGCCTGCACCCTAACCCCTAAACCCTCATAGCAGCAACCCCAGAAGGCACGACCCATGCTTTTACCAACCCCCTTGCGTGTACACCGCTGAGACCCCAACCCCAAGCATTTGCCTGGCATTACTGTGGATTCTATGGGAATAATTTCGAGAAACTCCCAGATTCAAGTAGGGGTTTTGGGTTACCTCAACCCCAATGCAAGAACTCTATGACTGTCATATGACTGCAAGAGGATCCTCATTTTGAGGATTGGGGTTGCATGCTTTCCCTGTTGCAATCCCGATACAATCCCAGCAATCCCTGTAGAATCTCCCTTAGCAGGACGTTACTGAACCCTAAACCCTAAACCCTATATCCTGTAATCTCCTGAATAATCCCCTTTAAGGAGTGTTCTGTATCCCAGGCGCCATCTGCGTGGCGCCCGGAGGCCCGCCCATCATGCCTAGGATAGATTTGAGGGTCTCGTCACAGATTTAAGGGTTCAGGGATTAGTGAGATACAAAGAGGCTATGTGGGAATTCTTTGGGTAAGTATTGTACGAGAAAGAGATAGGATTTAGGGTTCAGGGTGAAACGTGGATATGATTGCTACCAACGAGTACATGTATGGAGATCAATTGTATCAAATGATGGTGTCTTGCGCTGTAGGTGGCTAAAGCTTGGAGCTTCAGGTTCCCAAAGGCTCCATGTAGCTATATAGTATATACTAAGGCCCCAAAGGAGTTCCCATATAACTACTTTTGAACCCAAGTATATACCATATAGCTACACGGAGCCATTGGGGTTTGGAGCGTAGGGTTTACGGCACGGGGATTTTGGCTTGGGAGCGGATACCAATGGGCTGAACGAGGGGCTTTTGCGAGGTCGATGGTAGGTGGTTGAGGGTTTTTTTACGAGGTGATAATATCCCTAAAGGGTGACAGGACCCAAATAATAGGGGTTTAGGCCCCAAATATTTTAATATTGATGGTATTTGGGCCCCAAAACCCCATGATTTGGGTCCTTGGACCCTTAATTAGGGTATGAAAAGAACCTCCTTCTCGTGTGTCCCTCGGTATCAGGACCTTACCTTGTTTCCTGCATGGGTTTCTAAACATGTTACGGTGAGTAAGATGCCACTGGGCCGACGGAGCTCAGCAGACAATGCGGATTTCCCCAGCTTTCTGATGGCTTTAGCGCAGAGAAGCCGGAAGGCCCGCAAGCGATAAAGAGCAAGCCAACGCAAGGCCCTTCCACCCTCTACGGGGCAAAAGTTCTCCGTGCCGTGAGGAAAACTATGAAGAGAACCCTAAACGCGAAATCTCAGCATGCTGAACCTGATCCCTGTGTCCTGTACCTCAAGCCCTACATCCCCAGCCCTGAACCTTTCATCCTAAACCCTGACACTGAAACACATCAAGATACCAGGCTTGGGCATCGTTGTGGCTGATGGTGCCGCCTGATTGTCGGTGACGCCGCCGATGGCCAGCTGATACCTCAGCAGATCAGTATTTTGAAGGGTGGTCTAGGGTTTAGGGTGTAGGATGAAGCCCCTAGTCCAAGGACCCAAATAGTCGGGCTTTAGGGCCCAAATACTATACTGTAAATGGTATTTGGGCCCTAAAACCCTCTTATGTGGATGCTTGGACCCTTAGGGTGGGGTTTAGAGCTTACGGTTTCGCATTTGGGGTTGAGTTCATCCCACGGAGAGTCCTGGCTTTCCAGAAGTCTAGAGATGTAGACAGGTGATCTGACGGCATTCATTGATTCATATAGGCTGTTATTCAAGAACCACAAGGGTCCTACGGGGAACAATGTCCATCACGAATTTTGCAGCTTCAGCGATTACAGGGATGTATGTACTAGGTTCTCATGTTCTTAAATAGGTTCTTCTCAAAACTTGGGCCCCGTTTGGTTCTAATTAGATTTTATTACGGCACCTAATATCTAGGGCACACAAAACGGGACCCTAATTTTGGGAAGTCCCCAAAAGAGCGTTGCCATGGAGTGCTACGAAAATGTTTGTGGTTGAGGAATCTTAAATGAAGTTACAATAACCATCGGGATATGCAGGCGCAAACATGGATTTGCCTAAAAATGGCAACTGATTTTTACCCTAAATGGCAGTTTCCGTAAATAAGGGGACCTTATATAGACCCCAATATACTATAATATAATCCTTATTATGGGCACCCCCAATATGGTACCCCTCATTTTCGGAACCCCCAGATGCCCCCGAATGGCAACCCAGTCCTCCAAAGCGCTACACTGGAAGCATGCTGAGGTGGAGGCTGCTGGAGTGAGATGGGCTGAAGGGCCGTAGCATCATAGTCCGCATCATATGCCTCAACCATGTGGCAGTACCTAGAACTCTATACCCTACCCCTTTTGTAGGGTACCTGATTTTGTAGATAGAAGATACCAAACACAGAGTTAGGTATCCAAAAAGTCGGGGGGGAGGGGGGGGGGGTGGGCGGGGTGGTATAGGGGTGCAGGTCCTTCTTGTAGAGTCTTGTGAAGAGTCCGCGCAAACTCTTGGTTGGAGAATAAAGGGAAGCTAGCTAGCTGTCGAGACTGCAAGAACTGGTGTCTTCTTCAAGCGTCGCTAGTGAAATTTAGGGCGCTGCATGGCAGCACCAGAAAACGTTCTACCAACAAATCCTAAGCCCTAAACTGCTGGGCGAAGTCAACTGGGATCACAAAACTTTGACAAGACATAATCCTATGAAGTCTTTGGACCCCCATACCCATCTAGGCCCAAACAAAGGAATATGGCCTCAATAGGAGTGGGGTACCTTGTAGTGGGGGGTCCCCAAAGTTTAAAGGGACTCTACTGGGAACCCCAAATAGGGAACCCCAAGAATATAGTAGGTACATAATAGGAATATACCTACCAGGGTCCTTATATTCCATTATATTCCTGCTATATTCTTGGGGTTCCCTATTTGGGGTTCCCAGTAGAGTCCCTTTAGTTTTGGTTGGTAAAGGGCTGTGGGATACATGT